GATACTTGTTTTTCATCTTTGGTATGTTATACATTTTAGGAATTCGAGTATTTATTGATAGGAGAGCTCAATTAACATTACTTGGCACTGAAATGGATTATGTTCAGTCAAAACTATCATCAGAGTTTGTATTTTATAATCCTAACATTAAAGGAACATGTGGATGCGGTGAAAGTTTTAACATTTAAGCTCTGTAAGTGTTTATTATTATTTGATTTAATAACTTCTTTTACAATATTATGGTCAAAAGTCTACTAAAATATTATTTTTAAATTAAAATATTTTACATAGTTTAATTTTTATCACATTAAAATTCAAATGAAGGCTGGGATCAATAATATGTTTTGTCATAAAATGAAAAATTGAGTTAATTTTCAAAAAATATTCTAGAGACTTAGTTTAGGGGTGTTTAATTAACTATGCACTGCAAAATATTAAAAAAAAAAAAAAAATTACTACTTCTCACAAAATATTGAAATTAATTATTTTTTATTTTTTTTAACATAATGGTTCTTTGTTGAGCTGCTTTACACAAAAAATTAATTTTCTGATTCCATCCGTTATACCCTAAACTCATATTAACTTACTAATTTATTTCAAATGGAAACTTCATTTGTTTTTATATCATCAGATTTATTTAATTGAAAACAATTTTTTGTTATATTAGATTTTCAATGTGTCATAGCTGTTGTAGAGGATCAGAAAAAAGTGTACTAATTTTTAAAACTTGGCATCTTTATTTGATCATAAATTAATAAGTGCTACCTATAGTGATTAAAAAAGAATAGTAATAAAATAAATGTAAATGAGGAAAAAGGATATATAAGAGAGTAGTTAGTGATGTTATGTGGAGGCTAGCTATTCTCAGTATTATGTGAGAGACTTGTGGTCAATTTAATAATAAATAAAATAGGATTTATTTTCTTCTATTGTGAATTCTATTACTATTATTATAGTAATTCTATTACTATTATTATAGTGTGAATAAGAATGTTCATTAAAGAGGTAGTATTAAACTTAAATTTGTCAAGATTTGTTTAGAGTTTTAAAGTATATATATATATGTAAATTTACATAATAGAAACCTGCAATATTCATATAAATTTGAAGCATGTGTAATTATAGTTTTACGCATTGCAAGATATTTAGAATTTACTTACTTATTGTCTTTAGCTATCCAGAAGAATGTTGTAAAATTAAAATAAAATTTATAACACAAAAAAGGTATTTCAGTCATTCGAAGATCTTAAGCAATCTAGAGTGGTTGTTTATGCAGCTTGTTATTTGATAACAAAGCTGATGAGCTACTAGTGCCCTTTCCTGGTCTTTCTTACTCAATAATATTTTTTACTTTATAATTTTGTTGGGAAAGCTCGATTACTAAAAAATACCTTTTGTGATACTTTTTTATAAAAGTTATAGTACAATGTTTATCAAATATTAAAATTACTGACATTAGTATATGCCTTATGACTTCTGTAAAACTTGATTATATTGTTGTATATCTAAAACAATTTTTTTGTATGATAGTACAAAGTACAGTTTCATAACAAAATAAGATTGTAATAACATATGACTAATATATGTATATATATGCATAAATTATTATGAATAAGATTTATAAAAGGACAATTATAACATGAAGGGTGTAAATATTACAACACGCTGGTTAATAACTTCATGATAGGGTGTACAGTATTTCACATTTATATGAACCTATATTATGAACTGAGTTTTAATTATATGAAATTAATTACTTGGGCTCATTAATATTTTAAGTTTTATTATTTGATAGATTTATTATTTATTTAATTTTTATGATTGAATATACTAATTAACATAATTTTTTAGGTTCATTAAATTTATGGATGTCAATAAATTTAATAAGATGAATATTTAAGAAGAAATCTTTACATAGTTTTTTTATAAAAATAGTAAAAAATATTAAATATGATGTAAATTTTGTACAGTGACATATACACTTTTAATACATAATTGTTATTTGTTGATATTAATATAAAAATAGTTTATCGATACATACTTCAGAAATTTAAATATTATTAATACTAAGCAAATAATAATTTACTAAACATGTCCAATTACCAAGAAAGTAATGCTAAAAAAATATTATTTATTTGGCATTTTTTCAAACAGTTATAATAGCAGTTTATAATCCCTTCCAATACTTTCAAATTGTATTTAATTATGTATCAAATTTATGATAATTTTATTATTCTTTGCTTATCTAATATAAAATTTTTATAATTTTGTTATTGGTTTTGTCTATGATCTGAATACATTTTTTTTTGTTATTAAATTTTATCATGTTTTGTATTGACTTAAAGAAAGTAAAGTTTAAATTGAAAACCATTCTTTTTTTAATTACACCTTCATTTATAAATATCTATCATTTATCCTTATTGTCTAATATTTTTATTCATGTGGTATCTGACTCATTTTTGTGTCAATTGTTAAAAAAAAACATGATTATAGTATTTTTTATAAAATATTTGACAAGTTTATCAGTATTCTTAAACTTAATTTATGAGAAGGGTATTTTTGTTTTTAAAAGTTTTAAAACAGTTATATTAATGGTTTAGGTCATGCTATTGTTTTAAAAAAAAATATTGTGTACGACTGTAAATAGAACTAGTCAAAATAGATTTGAAAATATATTTTGGCCAGTGTACTGTCGAATTGAAATGTTAATTAATGTATAATTGGAAGACTTTTTTTTATAAATTTAATTATTTTTAGAAAAACATAATATGGTACCTATTTGAAATATAACTAATTATATTCTATTTTAGTTGACTCTATAGACTTTAACGTTAAAGTAGAATATATCTTACAAACAAAGAATTGGCTGTTTTGACTAAAAAAATTACAGGATAATTAACTTACAATGTATATTTTGTTTATGAATATAGTGAAATTTACTACTTTGACATAATAGATTTCAATATACTAACTTTAATAGCGCATGTATTTATGGTAGTTATCATATGATTTGTATAGATAATACAGACTTGTAAAGACTATAGGGATTTATCACATGAAAAATTATATATTTATTTATAGGTATTAATATATTCAAATACACTTAAAATATAAGATGGATAAATCCACTTATTTCATAAAATACGTTAGTATTACAAAATTTTTCAACGCTTGTTTTTTAGCAACATCATTATTATCATTATTGTAGCAGCTGTTAACGAAATTGTATGCTGGAGCTCTTTGGTTATTATTATCACATTACAATTATATTTGATAATAGTATCAGTTTTTTGTAAATTATTTTTAATAATCAACTGCTAAATAGCAGTTGATTCCCTGGTCGTTTAATATATAGTCGAAAGTTATTATAAATTGTTATAATGACTCAACATGTCATTTTTAGATATAACATAAACATAATTATGACAATTATACATGTGATACGTTTAGATGTTATGTATTCCTCCATTATTAAAGTAAGACATTTACTTAAGAATAATTATCATTGATCTTAGATTTGTTTTATTTATTACACGTTTGTAATTGAAACGTGTTATAGCATCTATCGGTATCAATCATAAATAAATGATAGTTCACTCTCTCTATATTTTCAATGTCGTGCATATGATATTAAAGGTCAAATATGTACATTAGGCATTCGAATTACTTCCTCTATTAAATATCTCATTTATTCACCCAAGTATTTGAAAACCATCTATTGGTAATAATCCTTTTTTTATAGGTATTAAAAAAAAAAATATTAAGTTGTTTATGAATTTTTTTACGTAATTTTATTTACAGGACGATACATCTTTAGTTTAGTCCAATAGTTACCAATTAAAATGGACGTTGACAGAAAAGGGTAAGTTATTTACTTATGTACAATAAGTAGTTTCTTTTTAATTAAAAAGTTATATTTAGTTACTTTTGCTTTAATTTATACGAGCGTATCATTAGTAGTTCAAATAGAATATTATTCAAACAGTTTTAAATTCTACAATTAATGCAAGTCTAAATATTTTTTTAAGGACTCTTAAATATTTAGATAATTTATTAATATTTATTATTTATCATTTCGGTTTTTACATCCGTATTTTTTGGATATATTTTAAGATAATTTTAGCGGAATACAAATAACATTATTAACAATGTGATATTGATTTTCTTGATATAATTTTTTGTTACTATGATACTACTTTAATATATATTATATTTACTGTAAGGTATGAGGGGAGATAAATTCCACTACGGGAATACAATTCTGCTATTTTCAGTTGCTACTATATTTAGTGACTTAAAAAAGGTCATGTGATGAATAATTAAATTTTTTCGGAGCATTTTTCATTACATTTCTTTTCCTTCTTTTTATACGTAATTACTTGTTTGCTTTAGTTTGTTGAGTCAGTGTTACAACCAAAGGGGGTACTCATGTTCACAGACTCTAATGAACATAATATCATAGTAACGATGGGAATTGGAGGGGTGAATATCCCCACTACTTTACGTTCTAAAAGCTATCTGGACCCTTCATAAAAAATTTCTAATTGCGTTACTACGGTGCGTAGTCAAAAAAAAAAGGTTGTGTTGATAATCCAGGAAACGCCCTAATCAATACATCATTTAAAGCTTAATGAAAATCAATAAAATTATTGATATATGCAGATACTTGTTTTTCATCTTGTGATAATTCATTTCGATAAATCTATAGTCGGCTAATTTTTATATCAAATTTGTGTAAAAAATTAGAAATACAACTGAAAATATTTCATTGTTTACAATACAACAATACGTAACATAGTTTTTGCAGGATTTCAAAATTATCAAGAAACAAATTTTAATTATACGTGTACAAGAGATGATTTTTTTCATACATTTTTATTAAAACTACGATTCTAACAAAAAAATATTTCAGAAAAACTTATTTTATTAATATTGTTTAAATAAGTTTATAAGCGACGATTTCCTTTTCTGTTTCTTTTAAAAAAAATTTTGCGTCACGTTTTTACGACTAAATACGACGCAAATAACAATTGTATGTTTTATGTTTAAGTCAGCGATTTAAGGTCATTAGTAGGGCTAGGAATTATATGTATTTATAAATTTTGTAAAATTATTCTTCGTAGTACGTGTTATGAGGGTAATTATGATTTTTTTCTTCAGATTAGGTTGTCTACCTCAAATAATGAATCCTCTATTTTTCATTATTAACTAGATATTATAATTTCACAAAAATCTTGTTAACATTTTGTTTTAAGTTATAAATGAGTTATATTTTTATCAAAATGATACATGAAAAACTACCAACGTTTCGTCTCAAGAGTTAGTAAAAAATATATCTTCTCATAGATATATACCGGTAGTTCCTTTCCGAATAACTTTTGCTTAGTAAACAAAGCTGCCAGTGACCTGGCCATGACCGAGATTCGATTTGGCGACAGTGTGTGTCCTAAGCATTACTATTTTATAAATTCAACCACAATTCCACTTAATGGCGTTTTATAAATTAAAATAATTAATTCGTTATTGTTAATCTTCTAAAGGTTAGTATATAGTTAAAATGGTAATAGTTAAAATTAATCAATCGACATTATTACAGAATAATTAATTAAAAAACGTATAAGTTTTTAAAAATAACAAAACTAATGATTACTTATACTTTCTAACAAATATTTATTGATTGAATTGTTTTATATGGTTATGAATATTTCTTTATTGACGTTTTCTTGTAAAACGATTATAACATTTATACTGTAAAATATTTTTATTTAAAATTTTCTATTTTTTTTAAGTCTAAGCATTTATTTTTGTGATCAATTCAAAACTACAATTGCAAATAAAAAAAAGAAATACAATAAAAATAAGTACCAAAGGTTTGAAAGGATTAATGACTTATAGTTTTAACTATTAATCTTGCTTTCGACATAAAAAACTTAAATTAAGATAAATATAAAGTTATACATTATGATTGACCCTAGTTTTATCAAAGTAACACATCTATATGTCACAGTCTAAAAATATCCTTTAAAATTATTTTTTGATGGCTGAGTTGGTCACACATAACCATATGTGATCTGGATTTACTAATTATTATTAGTTTATTAAACTTTTTTCGTAAAGCATTATGCTTGTTTATCTAGTTATATATTGTTATAATATTTACGTGGGATTTTTGATTTTGGCGGCCAATAACTCATTAAAAAAGTCATCAGTTGTTTTCTTTTTTTAATTCAAAGAACATTGCTTAAGCTTTTATTTGATTTAAGATTAAAAGATGCAAGTTTTCTGAAACATACAAAAAATTTAAGAAAAAAAGTGTTAATGTGATGTATTGATAAGTTGAAGGCTTACTTTTCTTAATTAAATAATTAGATTTTCTAAAAATGTTATCTAAAGTAAGAAAAATTGCCTTATATGCTAGCATTAATAATAATTAAATTAATTTAATTATTGAATTTTTCTTCGTACATTTTTAAAAAATATGGAATAATTGAAATTAAAATATCAAAAACAATTGTTTTTAGTGATTATAATTTTTTGGGCATTTCTTCTAGTTTAGGGAGACGAGGTTATATTTTTCAAAATATAACATTAATAGATTCAATTATGTATAAAGTTTGATATTTAAGGTATTATCATTAAGAAAAAACTACGGGAGTGTAGAAAAATGATTGATGAAACTTTTTGACTTTAATATACATACGAATAATCATTACTGATACATCCTTGTAGTTTTAAAGAAATTTAAAGTAAATAAGGCAATTTTGGTTTGTAAGAAGATGAGTTTTTACCCTCATGTTATAAATTCCCTGAGATATAATGTGATGCTTATATAAAAAAAACAAATAAATTACAATATTTCATCTTATAGTCAAAATTAATCATGTATCATGATTCTTGGTCTATATTTAAATATTATTATAAAGTATAATACCAACAAGTGAGTCGCACAGTTTATGTTAAATTGTGCAAAATTTAAAAAAATCAATAAAATTAATGTCTATTCTAAACAATGTTGTTTGTTTAATTAAATCGTAATTTTTGTTAATCAAACAAATACTAAGAAGATTTGCTAAGCAAATTATTTTTTTGTAATACTCACAAAAAAATTTGTCTGCTGCGTATTAATGTTTTTTTTATTGTGGATGTTTGTTATTTTGACTCTAAATATATTACAAAAATAAATTATTACAAATTAATTTATTGAATTGAATTTTATCTTAGGTTACCAAACTAGTTTTCTGAATCATACTAATATTAATATAAATACGAAATCCGGCTTCTTTATAATTATTCACCAAGGGAATTTTGGTTGAATTTTCAACTACACAGGTTATAATTTCTGTAATAATCATCGGTGAATTAAAAAATTTAGGGATGTATGACTGAACAATATTGTAAAATATTTACATTAAATAGTTATTTTTATTGTAATTCGTTGTGTTAAGTATATTAAAATCAATTAACAGATAATTATTAAAATCTTAAAACATACTATTATATAGGCAATTCAATAAACTACTATGTATTGACTGGAATTTATTTCGCTTGTATCAGCCGTGCAAATGATGAATGTATTTTTTTTTATCTGTGATTTAATTTTATAAAAAAGTTATACTAATAAGTGTCATTAGTATAAAACTTCGTTAGAAAATTTTTGTATATACAATTGTTGATAATAACAAAATAACATTAAAAAAATTGACTTTTTAGTCATATTTTAGAGTTCTTTAACTTTTACATAAATGAAAATTTAAAATTTATATTTTTTGTCTTTATTTAATGACATTTATNTTTAACTTTTACATAAAAGAAAATTTAAAATTTATATTTTTTGTCTTTATTTAATGACATTTATTTTTACTGATAAGAATAATATTTGATGTAAACTGTTTATTCTATAAAATGCTTTATGAATACTATAATGTAAAATTTTAATATAAAAAATAGTGATATATTATTCCTTGTGAAATGTCAAGAAATATTTTTGCTCCTATTTATATTATAGTATCCCTATTCTATATACGTTTTTGTATATAAGTTTTTATATCTTTTCTTATAATAATAATAATTTTTTTATTGACATAAATGGATTAAAATATTACTATATAATGATTATTATTTAAAAATATATTTTAGATTTTTTTAGTTATATATATAAAACATTACATAAAATGTCTTACTGTATATTTGACGATCAGTACACGTTTTTGATGCACGCGATGTGTGCATTAATTTATATTATTGTTATAAACAAATGACACATTTTTATGCAAAAACTTTTTTTGAACGGGTTCAACAATGAGGGTGAAAATTGTCACTGAGTATTATTTGTATAAATGTTTTTTTGTGTATATAAAATAAAAATTGTGAAACGTTTTTATATAAATTTATATTTTGATGTTTAAACTACCAAAAAACTTAACAATGAGTATAATATCACCAATTTATTTGTTTTTTTGGATCAACTATTTTAATTTTATGTCTGTCCTTGTTATAACATTTTGCGGGTTTTTGATGACGTAATTTTTTTATGACTGTAAATAGTACATAAAAATAACAACTATATTTAAATATATTTTATTTTATTCGAAATATGTTAACACATTTTATAGTAAGTATCTTATGCCTTCGAATGATAGACACTTAACTAAACTCAATTAAATTTATTAATTTGTTTTTTATCAGTGTATCCTAGAAAAAATATTAATCGAAAACTTTCTTAAAAAATATTTGCTGTAATTAACGTACGCCTTAATTAGAAAACATCACAAATTGTGCTTTCGGTAAAAATTTACATGATTCTTCTTTTAGATAGGTAAATGCGCTCCTATATTTATTCTTTTAAAAGAATAATGGTATGATAATTCTTTGATTAAAATTCTAACCAATGTTTTTAAACGTTAAAAATAAAATAAAAAGTTTGCTACCACGAAGAAATTTAAAGTTTTTCTTAATGAAAATTTTTTTAGTCTCAATTAGTTATATTATTATTATTTATCATCAGAATAAATGTTCATATAATATTAACGTTATTTAAAAAACCTGTACACTCTCAATTTTATATGCATACCTTTTGTTCTACTGTTACCAAAATTAGTTATAACCGAAATACACATTCATGTGTATGTTTGTATGATTAACCACTAGTCTTGATATATATCAAAATTATTATAAATTTGGACAAAAGTTAATGCAAAAAGAAAAAATTAATTTTTGGATTTTAATAATTGTTTATAACTAAAATATATATGTGTATTTTTAATGATCCAGAGGAACTTTTTAGGCAAATTGCTAATTAACATAAATCAAAAATATGAATTTTTGTCGAAATTTACACGGATCTATTCTTGAACTTAATTAATTCATTACTAAAAACGATAAACGAATAGTTCATCATGCTTAAATGTCACCAAACAATCTATAAGATTTTAAGATATGAATATTGAAGGTTCTTTTGATTAGCCTCTTTATTGGATGGTGTCGGCATCCAAGTTAAAATTGTGGTTGACATGTTTATGCCCAATATTCTAGTAACATTCGTTGTAGTTATTCAAAATATAGTAATTTGAATTGTTTGAAGTCAAGTTTAATTTTACTTAATTAAGCACGGTCATTAGTCTTGTTAAGTTTTTACTACCTAATTTATGAAATTTGTCGACTGTTAAAATAACCTTCCACTATAACCTTTAATTTTTTGTTTGTTCTCACAATAAGTATTTAAACATAAAATATAAATTTTTGTTTGACTTAGTTACCATTTTATTTTTCTCATACAAATCTATTAAATCATTTTATGTTTAATGGTTCTTCTAATCATGCCATATTCTTCTAATAGTTATATAAGAAAACCTATTTAAATAAAATTTAAAATATATTATGGAAATTTGACGAAACATATATTAATGCTGACTGTTAATAATGACATTATGTGTTTTAATAAAATTTATTTTTCAACAACAGTTTAAACTAAAATTATCTGAATAAATCATATCTATAATCATATCATATGATAATCATATCAAGACTTTCTTTCAGTAAGATTATCTTAGGTTTTTATAGTTTTTTTTTAAATATTTGCATTTTCTATGAATTATTTATAATTAAACTAATTAATTTGTTTGGCGGCATTAGGTTCCTGTAACATTGAAAAATAATATCTTCTGAAGTAAATCACCTAAGTTGAACCTAAAATTTCCGAAAAAGTTGAGCGGGTTGAAAGAAATTCATACATTTAGTGTATAAATTAAACAGTAAAACTGCATTACACTTAACTTTACTTAGTTATTCAATAATGTGTTTAGAAAAAAAACTTAAATATTTTTAACTTAGTTGTAAATTATTTATTCTATCAATTTAATTTATTAAAACAATATTAGGTGTTCTTGCACTATTACAAATAGTTAGATTTTGATATCTTTGTTGAATTATACGTGTTTTTTTACAAGTGCTTTAAGCTACCGATGTTTGTTTAGTTGATTGATTTCATGCCGCATAATCATTTTATCACTTCTTTTCTTATTAGTTTATGGATTAATTTCATTGTTTTTGATAGTATTGTTATTGAAGCGAATGTTCACGGTTGTTAACTTGAATTTAGTGTTTAATAAAGTATTTTTTTTCAAAATATATTAATAAATGGATTTGAATAAATCAGAAAACTATGGAACTTTTTTTGATCAAGGTTTTTCAAATTCACCTATAATTAGTGGCAAGTATGGAATTACTTGAAATTGTTTTTAATAAATTTTAATAAATAAATCGTTTTTTAATTTTTTTGCATTAGATTGTTGAATTAAATAAGCAAATTTCGCTATTAATATTAGAGCTATTTTAGTTTGCTAATAGTTGAATCATTAATTGATATGAAGAATATGTTAGTGTTTAGTTTACGTCTAGTGATCTAGTTTGATTCTGATTAGCTGAAATTATTTATTTTTTTATGATTATAAGTTTTTTTTTATACCTATAATTTTTTTTATGTAATCAATTAGATTTATATTTTAATTTTATAATACAGTTATATTAAAGTTAAAATTGAATTTATTATAGTTAAAATACATTTGTTGAAATGGGTTCTTAGATATAGAAATTAATTACTAATAGACAGTTCTTCCGATTTCGTCGTCTATTGGTTTGTTGTCATTATATTTTTCCTTAAAAGGGAAAAATTTTTATTTTGTAGTATTTATTTTAGTTTTTAGTTTTAGTAGTTATATTTCTTCGTCAATCATGCTAAATTTGCAATACAATATGCTCAAAAGAGAGATTCTATAGATATATATTTATCATTGATTATTATTTTAACTAGAGCTGATAAAGAACAAGCGACATTAAAATATATATATATATATGTATATTATGTAGGTCTCTCTCGTAGGTATCTTAAAGCATTAGTACTTAGGAACGATTTTTTAAAATTGAAATATTTTTCAAGTGATATATTATCATAATGACAACGTGTTATTTTTAGTTTTTGATTACTATTTAGATTGTTGCGAAACAAGTAGGTTTTTATTTATTTTAATATCCCGCTAATCATCTTCGTTTGTACTTTTTATTATATTATTTGAGCGATCAATGTAACTGATTGTTACCACCAGTAGATCATAGGTGATAACATAATAGCAAATATAAACAATATTCTATTTATCAAAGAAGATTCTGCTAAGAATATGATGAGAATTGTTTATAATTACGGTAACCTCGTTAATTCGGTCAATGGTATTAAACTAATGTATGAGCGAATAATACTAGTAATGATTCGTCCATTTTCTTGCAAGCAATATAATAAATTATTTTGTTTCAACATTAAGTATTTTAGTGGAAAAGTTACTTGTGTATTTTGAATACATGGCTATAAAATATTGGCTTCTGGTTGGTTTCGAATTGTGGTTATAATGAATTAAAAAACTGGTTGTTGTCTCCTATTATACATTATAACCATTATTATTATGATTGTAAGCTTTATCAATAATTCACTATGATCAATTCTTGTCTTTATGTATACTATATATTTTTAACTTGAATTTCCAGTTTGTGTGATCAATGCGAAAATTTCAACACTTCCACTTCTTTTGCATCGTTTTTTACTAGTACAACGATGTATGTTTGTTATGTTTTATTATTTTTTTATGCTCACACCATAATTTTTTTTATCAAATAATTAACAGTCGCGTCCCGACGGGCTATTTCTTTGCATGTTTTATCTGTTAGATTATTAATACAGTTAAATAATTTATAAATTTTATTGATTGGAATGAGATCGTTACGACAGTTGAAATAAATCTACCATCACAATCGGAAGCGATCTCCCAATGTTAATTAGCGGTTTTTGTGTCATTTTAAAAATTTTTTCTATATTTTTTTTGATAAATAATAATTATTATAGAAAGATATAATATCACGTTAAATTAATCACCTCAGCAGCATATTCGGAAGAGCTGCGTGAGTTCGCGTCCTCGTCGACTATATTCAAACTTGGTTATTAAACAGTAATACCACTACGGAATCAGTCATTGCGATTAAGTTCACATTAACGTCAACATCTTTGTTCAACATAAATTTATGTGTATTTGCAATTATATTATTAAAAGTTACGTTCAGACAATCTATCGATTTGCTTATTTTGTTTCGTATAGGTTAATTATTTTCGAGTTAACTGTTATTTGATTATTATTCAATCGTCGAGTTCATTAAGCAAAAAACATTCGATATTGATAACCAAAATATAGTGTAACGAAAACTATTTCATTCCTTGGTTGCATCATATACAAATTATTGGTAACTATTTTATTTTATGTTATTATAATGAATATATTATACTTATTTTTAAAGTTAACTTGAATTTTTTTATATTTGACATTATTTTAGTAATTCAAGCCGTATCATATGTTATTTACACAATGAAAAAAATCAGTGACGTCTTTTCTAAAAGAAACTTAAAGTTTTGAGGGCGGGAACTAGGTATAAATACACTAGTTAAATGTTAGTTAATGCAATTTGTACGTTTCACTTGTATTTTCTGTAGTACGCGACGTTTGGTTTGTATTGCCAAAATATAGACTCGTGTTATTTCGGTCCGATAGATATTTTGCAAGATAGTGTGTAACTAAGTAATTTTTGGCTTATTCGAATTATCCTTGGGCAGTAAACTTTTTTGTTTTGAATTGGATATTTATGGTACGTTTTTATTGCACATTTAAAAATAAATATACTATATCATTTTTGTATCTATTACATTAAAGTAAGCAAAAGTAGGTTATATTAATATCAATATCTTGAAGTTTTCTTATCAGTTTTTCTATAGCAGAGTAAATGTATATGTTAAATAAACAAACACAAATATTTTAAGTAAATTATACGATATTTTGATCTGTTGAAATGTTTTCTTATCATAAATTTATGATAGGTAATAAAAAATATTATAATTGTTTGAATATGATACTTTTTTATTTTTTTTTTAATTAAAAAATATGTTACTTTATGAAATATTTGTGACTGTTTTATTTAAAATTTTCTATTAAACAATAAAAAATTGTCAAAAAAAAATTTCACTTTTTGGGAAAATAGCCCTTAATTTCGGTTCCCATAAAAATAAGTTAAGCGACTTTCAATCACTATAATGACTGGTTTTTTTTTAAACGTTTTAAGATTGAATTATTTATGTAAATTTTCTTTGTTAAGAAGTAAACAATATTTGTTTGACGTAATTTTTTGAGAATTGAAAAATGTACATAAATTTTATATTTATGATGTTTGCGAGTATCGCGATTATATTTTATGAGAAAAAAAAAGAATATATATTTTAAATCATGAGATTTTAATTAGTTAATACATTCTTTTTGCACATATTTGCAGTTGTTAAAAACATTTTTTTAATTTAGCATTGAGTAAGAAGAAGTTAACATAAATTCACTCGTATAAAACAGTTATACATGTTCAATTTTTTAGTTACTGGGTAAAAAAGTTAACTTATGCGTGTTACTACAAATACTTCATTGTATTTGTTTGGGTTTAACTATGTTAGCTCGAGTAAAAACGTGATCATTTAACAGCTGTGTGACCTTAAACATAGACTTAATTACACGTTTAGACTTATTATTTTTTCATTTAAATGTATAGAGACTTTTTCGCTAATACTTAAGTATAAGCAAAAAAAGTCTCAATATCAAAATTACAAACAATAATTATCATTTTTATTCATGTAAAGTTTTTATTCTAGTTGTTTTACTGTATATACTTTTTATCTTTGAATAATTCTATTTGTTCGTATCTGTTTTAATTTTGATGTAAATTTGAGTTAGCAATATTTGCTATATTTATAGCAAAATATATTTAAATTTATTTTAATTATTCTATAATAATTATAGAATATAAAATAAATAATTTAAAAATTATTTCCTGCAAACAATTTGGTTCTATCCCCTATTAAAATTTTATCAACTTAAGTTTTTTAAACATATGTGTAACCAACTTACTTTTACTAGAAAATTTAAAGCAGTTATTTAAAAAAATAACGGCTGGTAAACATTTTTAAACCACTCTTTAGGAGTTTATTATTAACTCTTTAACAAAGATTGGAGTTGAAGCACGGTTCAGTTTATTTTTATTTGTAGTCATTAATAAACTGCACTACTTCTCCCGCTTTTTTTAAATATTTTAAAATATTGATAAAACATTTTTTATCGACCAGTTATTTTCTTAGATAGACTATTTTTTAATTTGCAAGTTGGTTAAACATGTATGTTTTAATCTAGAAAACTAAAATTAATAACATTATAAGAAGGAAAGAGAGAGGATAGAACATAATTATTTCCTGGAAATCATAGAATGTAAAAAGAAAAATTATATTAAATTATATATTTTTAATGATTTTGCGTAAGTTATAGTGAAACTATAACTATATCACTCTGTATATTTATATACATAATGGTTGTTATATATATATATATATATATATATATTCGCATCTACCTTATGTAACAATTGATTTTTCATATGATCTTTCAACTTTTATTATGATTCATCGTGAAAAATATAGCTCTACAATACACTATCTTGCTTTCTCATTAATATAGTTGACATTAAATATGAAATAATATTAGTAGTATAGTAAAGGAGGGACTAATTGGCCTAATGCCCCCCATTGGCCATTTATTACTATTAACAATAATTGTTTTTGGCGCTAGTAAGAGTATGTGATAAATCATGGCCGTGTTAAGGGACAACAGGGACAAGTGCTATAGGTGCCACACATTTAAGAAGCCCCAGAAAAATATAAACACATTTTGTTTTTGCATAAAATATGTTTTGTATACATAACATATATTTTATACCTACACTTTAAATAGGTCCCGATGTCAATGTAATTGTTATTGCTTTTATGTGATAAGACATTACTTATAACGATATTAATCAGTTTCCAAAATTGACTGCCCGTGGGAGCGCGACCTACGAACGTTCTAACAGAATCGAAGCTTAAAAAAAAATAGGAAACCAACATTTTCTTTAATTTACCGATATCCATGTATTCGGCTACTCCATACAATAATTATATAATATTAATGTAGTTATCGATGACAAATCGTGTGTACTCTGAACAATTTGTTCAAAATTTGTTTTTAGTTGTACTTTTTTTCCCTTTACATTCAATTTTTTTCATTTTACAATGAACAAGAATAATTATAAAAAAAATAGAAATAATAATTGTTATTATAAAATTATATAGTATTTCAATATTTATATTGTATATATTGTTGAGACTGGGGAGTTATTGCGAGCGTAGTGAGGTGCTTTTATTTAGGGTTTAATTTCTATACATGTTACATAGGGTGTCAAATATATGATTGCCCTAAAGGTGCTAAGGACAGTTGGCACGGTACTGTGTAAAATCAAAAAAAGAAACATTAGCTCTCCTGAGAAAAAATCCTGGCCACATATCTAAATAATATTGACTTAAGGGGTTTTGTCCGTCTGTATTTTACTAAATGATAAAACAGAGATAATAATGTATTTTTTTAATTTTTAGTTTTGATGAATAAATAATAAATTTGTAATACAAAAATGTATGCTAATCTTTTCATAATTTTATTCGCTCAAGTTTTGATTTCTTTTTAGCAAAGAAAAAAAAAATCTACTTTGTTAAAGTTGAAAATTATTTGTTTGAATTTAAATGTAATGGCCTTCTTTAAAATATGAGATTCAAATTTTATATAATTTAAATTTTAGAAACTTAACCTAATAATAATAATTTTATTCATACTGAAATGTACAATTGCTGCCTTAATTTTTTTCTATTATTAATAAATACTTAATGAATTATTGGAATAATGAATATATTTGTATAATTTATTATTTTATTTGACTTTATGATAATGATGTACTTATATGTTATTGTTCATCTGTAGTAAATTGGTAATCTAACACTAAATATTGTTTCAATATTAACTATTTCTCGACCTATTTCCATAACTTTAAGCAAACCTTATTGTTAAAAAAAATAATTAAAACTAATTTTTTTGTAGACTAGTATTATGCTTTATTAGTTTCGTACCTTAATATTGAGATTCACCCAAAGAATTTTTGTGCAGATTTATTGCTTTTCAAACCATCTTCTAAATGCGGCCCTAATTTCATGAAGATCAATATGAATAGGATCAAGTTGAATTTTCTCCAGTGAGCTTTAGACTAGGTCATTATTTTATAACTTGGTCATCTCAATTTTCTTTTACATTCGATTAAACGATTTCAAATAAGAAAATAATTTAATGTGTATTTTTTTAATAAATACATATTGTAATACGTTACATTATAATGATCTGCTATAAAAGTATAATTAAATGAAGTGAAAACCTGTATAGTAAAGGTAAACCATGAATGACTTGCTTTGTGAAAGAGACCCTATTTAATACTTCCATTTGATTAAAAAATCACCTATTCATACATGTGATTCAAATATTTATTGAAATATTTACACCAAACAGACCTATGTGGCGCAGCCTCTCATACTTCCCCCTTACTGGATTCAAGGTATTTTTTATCAAAACGAAATATATTTGTCATACAATTAGTGATGGAAAAGAACGCGTTATAGTGACGTGAATGTTAAATATACAACGGGCATAATAGTATTAGGCTTGGATTATACTTATTTGTAGATCCAGCGCCAGATTTTTTAATAGGCAAGTAGTGGTGCATAATTTTTTTTTTTTTGTGCTCACTAAAAGAATTTCTTCTGCGTCGTTAATTACAAAATATTGATGTTCGATATATTTTCTCTCTGAATACGAATATTGTCATACTGTTTTTTTTACATTTTTCTATTAATTTTATTTAAGTTTTTAATACTTGCCTAAATCGATTTTCTACTTTTGTGTATTCCAGAAAAATGTATCATTTTCGATCGAATAAAAATAATTTTTTAAGCTAAAATGTGTTTAAATATCCAAAAAATAAATATGAGTAAAAATTGATGTATTTTTATTTTAATCATTATAATTATAGTAATTAAAAATAATATGTAGTACGTATATTGTAATGACGTTATTTTTTTTTATCTTTATGTGCAAGTTAGGAAAAACACATCTATTATTTGAACATTACATTTTTGTTAAACTTATAAACTTGATATTCTAAAATCTTGATTTCTATTAAACAAATATATTCCTTATTTATATTGTACAAATAAATCAATTTAAATATTCTTATGTTACTGCAAACCATACAAATAATATTGCATGTTTATGCTAAAACAATTTACTTGAGTTAAATAATGAATAATTTTTTTATTTTACATAATTTTTTTTCCAGAAAAGTATATTTACTAAGTAGTTATTTTATTAATTTGAAAAACAAAAATTTGAATCACATATAAATTTGTTCGAAGCTTGTTAAAACTATTTAAATTCATTGAATAAGTTGTATTTAACTAGAAAAATAAATCTTTTGAACTAATCATTTTTTTATTACACGTTAATAGTCATCGATAAATCCGTTAATAGTACTAATGCGTATTATGTAGCTTACTTATTAAAACAATTATTGTTTTTTTTTTAATTTTATTGGTAAGTTTATTAGATTTTTCTGTATCATGCATTTTTATTTTTCGGGGTATATTGTTAAACTAGATAGTAATTTAAACAGGTAATTAAAATCATTTCACTGACATGTCTCTCTTTATTTACTTTAAAAACATCAAATTTATAATTTTATAGTGAAACATTAATTTCTCTAATACTTAAACTAAAATAAACGAAAGAAATTTTATTTTTAATGTTTAACAAAAATTTAACATTTTAAAGAAAAATAACGAAATTATTTTTATAAATTTAGCTGATGATACAATAGAAAGTTCAACATATAGTTGTTTAATATTTATTTTAAATATATTATTTATATTAAATTTCGTTTTAGTTTGATTTTAGATATTATCAGATTATATTATTTAATTTAATTCAATTTAAATTGTTTAATCTTAATAATTTTCTTAATTATTGAAAAAATAACTTATTAATGGTTAATAAATAAAAAAAAATTATCTAAATTTTTTTTTTTTATTAATTAATTGGATCATGATAAATTCTACAGTTGTGCTTACAATTTTTCTAAATGATTGTTGTTAAAGGGATTAAATTATTTAATTTTTTAGAAATCTAACATTATCTGTTCAAGTAAAACTAGGTTAATTGATATTATTTATTTTGTTGTTATAAATATTATTTCTGATTGAAGGTTTTTACCAAATATTTTTTTAGAATATTGAAAGTAATAGTTTGTTATAAGCAATAACACTAATTTATTAAGCAACACTAAAGATCTGCGATACAGTTATTCTTAAGGGTATAATGAAAGTATTAAAGAGCTCTTTATTAAATATTGACAAGCTACCTGTAAAATATTTTACAATGATTATCTGTTTCAAATAGATAAGTTACAAGAATATTCAGGCCTTTAAAAATATATAATTTTAACTATTTATTTTATAATTACATAAAAAATTTAAATAAAACTTTTCGTGACATAGTTGTTTTGCAACTATTCGAATAGTCATTTGTTATTTCAAATATAACTAATATTTTATAGTTTGTATTATACAGATAGTATTAATGCATTATATAATTTTTTTACAATATGACCGATGCGAAAAATATTTATAATTGGCTCTACTTTTTTATTGCCATCAAGTTACAATTTCATTTATAGGAATAATAAACCTAATTAATTATTGTACTTTTTATCTTAAACACAACTATACCCTCTATATCTTAAAAAGACTTAATAATTATTATTTATTAATTAATAATATTTAATGATGAATCTTTTATAGATTGTTTCAAGGTAATTAGTAAACAACTATATTTATTTATATCGGTGAAGGACTGACTGTGGTAAATCGTCATCAAGTGTAAAAGCCATGTAACTTTGAAATAATTCAATTTTGTTAGTATTTAAATTAAATGATTGCGTTTTTGGAACATTTATATATTATTTACATTATCTGTGATTATATCTGTTGTTCACAGTAAGTCTATTATGAATTCTTACGCAATAACTTTATTGGTTACTCTTTGTTTTAATTTAACTAACTAAAAACTTAACGCAATCGATGAAGTATACTTGGTAACACTTGGCAAATGTAGTCGTTTTTACAAACAAATTCGTGAACTTTATATTAGCCCATATCTCCGAGAGTTGAGTAGATCTTATCTTCTTATGTAATTAAAAAATTCTTAATTATCCTTGTTTTAAGTAACACTTGAATTTTTTACCATCGATATTAAATTTATTCTTTATAATATGTAGCATGTGTTCATAATACACAGTATGACTTAATTATTATAGTTTTACAGTTGGAACTTTTTACGATGAGTTTATCATACAAGTATGATATTTTAGTAAATTAAATACGTTTTTCTTTTAACTTCTTTGGTTATCTTACCTTGATTCTTTAAAGTAATTCTATTTGTCGTTAAAATGAATTTTGTATATTATTAAATCTAAAATTGCAGTGTAATTTAAAATTAGTGTGCTGTATAAATTTGATCAGAAATTGTTTTTTCTTTGTTCAATAAAATATAGTCATAGATAAACTGGATAAATAATCGTTGAAAGCAAAGAACAGACGCAGTGTATACTTTTACAAAATTCTTATAAAAGAAATTGCGAATGTTTGGATTATTGATTTGTGTTGTCTAAGTTTCAAGAACTCTATGTAATTATATTCGAAAGATTTTGTGTACAGGAAAATCTTTCAGAGTGATGATATCAGACTATTAAATTAATAAAGGGTAGAGTGTAAAGAATTAACGACGTTTTAATTATTTCAAAAATATGATTTGAGATTAAAAAAAATGTTATTGTTATATTTTCTTATAATAATACAATTTTTCTAACGATCATTGTATTTTTAATTTTGATTGTGTGTGTAAACATAATATTCAAAAGTTTTGCTTATGGCTTTCATATTTATTTCCAATACTCATACATCATCAAATTAAAACTTTTAGTGTAAAAATACAATTTTTAAACTTTTATAAGTACCTATAATAAATAATTGGTTTTTAATTTTTAGCTTGATTTTTTTTTTATCCGAATTTATGTTATGATAGTACGAAAGATGTAAATTTATGTTTATAAAAGTTAAAAATATTAATTTTTTTGTTTAGTATAAATTCTTATCAATGAAATTCTAGATTACTAAGAAAATAAAAAAATTCAAATCAACTTAAGTTATTTTATGACTAACATCTTGGTGTTTCCTACATTCCCTATGAATAAGACGAGTGTTTGGTTGAAGGTGAACTGTGTGAAAAACTTATTTTAAATTATTTTGTTTTTAGAGTGAAGAAATAAATCAATTATTTACTTAACTCTTAAATGAATAATTGTTATTAGTATAGTATTCTTAATATCAAATGTTCTGTTTATTTTTTGTATTCGAATAAAACAACATCGCATATGAATACTCAATCGATCAATTATATTTTAGGCTGTAATAAAATCAAACTTTACAAAAAGTTGATTGTTTAGAGTCAATTATTGTCAAGATAATCTTTCATTAAGTTCAATCTAAACAGGTATCTCAGATCTAAGTGACAACGCTTATAAGTTTTGATCCAATTATCATTATTGATGAAATTTTTTTAGTAAATATTGCCTTCATAGGCTACGTCCAAAGCAATTTTTTTATTATTAGTTACTATATAATAATAAACTTTACAGTAATAAAAATTTTTTCTTTATAGTATAAAGAAAAATTTTTAATAAAATGATAATTGTATCAAAAATTATAAGTGTCGTCAGTTAGATCTGGGATATCAGGTATATTATGACCTTATAGCTTTCAATAAATAATCTAATACAAACTATTATAGTACTTTCATTATCTTTAATTTTTCATAAATACGTTTTGTTTTTTTATTATTCGATAGTTGTTATATATTATTATTTTTTGTTTACAGATACAGTCGCGTCATGGGTAAATTAAATAGTTCTGTTGTAGTCAACGTCAAAAGACCCGTTTATCAACTAGAAGATCTCAATGACGCTTATAGAAATGACGACTCAAGTCTAGAAATGACAGGTAAACGCAAAAAAGTTTCAAAATTGAAGTGGTCAGATGCTATGAGTGTAGTTCCGGCAATCGATTGGCTATTTACCAACTATAACTGGTCCGAAGATCTCGTTAAAGATTTTGTAGCGGGATTTACAGTGGCTGTGCTCAATATTCCACAAGGTATGGCATACGCCATGCTTGGCAACGTGGATCCAACAGTTGGTTTATACATGGCTATATTGCCTGTTATCGTTTACAGCTTATTAGGCACATCTAGGCACGTATCCATGGGAACGTTCTCAGTTATCTGTTTAATGACTGGTAAAGTGGTTAATACTTATTCAAATGCATATGAAAAGCCAATGACCCATACATTCACTGACTCTGTATCACAATCAGTTGTTCCGCCAATATACACCCCTATAGAAGTAGCTACAGCTGTTACCTTGATGGTTGGTCTTATTCAAATACTCATGTATGTTTTTCGGTTGGGTGTAATATGCACAATATTGTCCGAAACATTAGTAAGTGGATTCACAGCCGGTGCAGCAGTACATGTGGTTACATCTCAAATGAAAGAAATGTTAGGCGTAAAAATCGGTAGCCATAATGGACTTTTCCAAATTGTTCTCACTTACTGTGATATTGGAAAACATATAAACTCTCTAAACGTTGCAACAGTTATAGTGTCATGTATAACCATGGTCTCATTACTCATCTACGGATCGTTCCTTAAAGTTAGAGTTAACAAAAGACTGCCAATACCCATACCTATAGAATTAGTTGTTATTGTAATTGGATCAGCCGTTTTTCATTTGACTAATCTCTCACAATATTACAATATAAGACAGGTAAGTAAACTATTATCTATTAAAATGTTGTTTTAAAATTAAAAATAACTTAATTTAGTCTTTGAGTAGCTTAGTTCTGTAGTAGTTATAATTATTGAGGCAATATTTCAATGTTCTTGCGATTCGTTATATTACAAATTTTTTTCCACATTTAGTAGAATGGTCCTTATTTTTAGACTTAATTTTTTCGATAGTACCCTCTAGATTAGTTCAGTCATATAAGAAAGAAATGTAGGCGAAATTTGAAAAGTTTTACTCAACCCCAATGCGGCTTCTTCTGGTGCCGCATTGGATTTGAATATGACAATTGAGGGTAGTTTTTTGCTTTTGTAAGTTTAACTCGATAAGTATTACACTGAATGTTAATATATATAGAATCTTAATTATAGAATTTATTATTGACTTCTAATATGTGTTTCTCTATCACTTTGTGGATATTTCTTTCGTTAATCTTGTATAGTCTAAACATTTAAATAAAGTAATTGAATTTAGATTAAAATGAAAATTATTAAATTATTTACCTGCAATAAAAACTGTTTTTATTCTTCGTCTCTAGTGAATTTGTTATTATATTTCTCTTTTTACTTGATTTCCCTCTCAGCTGTGTCATTTACTACTTTCAATCTTTTTATTATTTCTTTTCCTATTATATAATCCTCCTGATATTTCCAGTAATCTGGATCAACGCTTAAAAAAATTGTTAAAATTCCAAACCGTTTAAATATTCCAATTTATCAAATAAGTTGTTAGGTTTTTTTGAAGAAAATTGGGGTCATCATCAAATGTAATCGATAATATTTTTTAGATCAGTTTCTTCCTCATAATTATCTTTGTTATTAATACCTGTGCTTAAAAATTTTCAGCTATTTTGTGTTTTGTATTATAATTTATACGTTCATCAAATAAGGAAAAAGTAATACATTCTGTATTTAAATACCATAAATGGTTAATTATTTTTTTTAAGCCATGTCTGAAAATTTTCTTATTTTGTGATTTATAGGCTTCTAATTTTCTAAAAAATAGTACATAATTGAGGGGAGTTTCTATTGCGTTGACAGAAGAAAATCAAGCATGGATGTAACATTTGACTATAAAACAAAAAATATTTTTTAAGGATGTTTCTTCTCTGCTGTTTAGTTGAAATTGTTTTTTAAATAAAAATATTTAAAAACAATAAATTGCCTTAGCCATTTCGAATTAATATTTTCTGCAATTTTTTATCTATAACTTTCACGGCACCTTTAAATTAATGATCGGTTTAAAACGTTATGCTGGGATCTAATTATGAAGCATCCAAACACGCAGTAAGTAAATGAACAGCATCCTTATCACTTTACACCTATCAAGTGTAGTAGATAATCTGGATGTTGAAAGTTCTTTTCTGTCTCTTTTACTTATTGACGGACTAAGCTCTGGTGAAAAATGACTTTCTTCTTCACCAATTATTTCGATATCTTCAGAAGATGAATCGGATGAAGAATTTTAATGTTTTTCTAAATTAAAATTATAAATAAGTGTTAAATATACGATATGAATATATTTGTTTTAATTAATTATCTTCTAATAAAGTTCACGTAGGTGTTTCTTTCGTTTTTTATTTATTTCCTCTTTTCTAATTGTGCTAAGTTCATATCTACTCCTATCATACAACCGAAACGACCTTAATTCGTTGAAGTCGTAAAAATTAATACCCTCCTGAATCGCTATAAAATTAAAAGCATTAGCATAAGTAATGTCAAATAAATCTTCCATTTGGTCTACAAAATTTTGTTCCCTTTTTCTGTTTAAGTCACTAGTCCTTGTTTTATTTTTCTTTAAATTTCTTAGTTATTTAATTATAATTTTCTTACAATATTAGTTGGATGTTGCGTGGGTATACGAGATTTTTTCTAATATACTAGGAATTTGTCCATCACAAGCACCGCTCTTTCATGCAAATTCAATTTTACAACTCTTAAATAATAACACGCTTAAACAATTTTTTATAAAGGGCAATTTACTTCCAGTAATTTGATAGTTAATAGGTTCTACTGATAAACTTGGTTTCAAGGCATATTTTAACAAGTAAAATAAAAAATAAAAAAAGCTATTCACTACACTATTATTTAAACAAAACTAAAAACTTGATACAATAATAAGCAGTAATGAAGGTATTGAACATTAAGCATTAATACATTTTTGAAAGATAACTTTTATCGTTACGTATTACTAGAAAATTAAAAATAATGTCAAGCATTCTTATCTACAACGAATAACTGTAGTAAATTCCGTACATTTAATAATAAACATAGTATTTGTAAAAATACACATTGATTTGTGTCTATACTTTATAATATTTGAATTCTCAAATTCAACTAAACCACTAAATAATTGATCCAACTTGTAATCATAGTGTTTTTAATAAATATTATAACCATTTTTATATGTAAAGTTTTATGCACTTACAACCACTTAGTAAATATATTAGAATAACTGTAAAAAACTATTTATGCTAAATTTTGGAAATTTATTATACTTTATTATTTTTTTTAAAGCATAATTGATATATGATGAAACGGTGTGGCTAAGTCGGTAACGTGGCAGAACTTGACGCCCACTGTCTCGAGTTCATAAATGAGTCACGGGCGATTTTATTTGTAATTATTACTGTGTAAAAAATGTTTTAAAAAAATGTCTACCTATATAAATAAAGACCTCTCTAATATTCAGCCTAAAAATCATTTATACTAGAATGTTTTTACGTTAGTTCAGTATCATTTTTTTCTCAAATGATATTATTATTTTAGCTTTTTAATACAAATCTCTAGTAATGAATACAATAAATTGAACTATTTTTTTTTTTGGGTATATTGTTATGGTAAAGAATGTTTTTATGAATCAAAGCCTAAATCTTTTTCGTCATTATTAATGCATTATATTTTTATATTACACTTCTCAGAGAATATTTATACTTGATTTCAAAATAAGTGACTTAGATTTAAAGAATCTATAGGTTGCTTATATTTTAGTTTAAAAATATAAATATGCTAATCATGCTATTATTATTTAAAATATTACTAAATTCGATTTTGATTTTTTGCAGATTGGAGAAATTGAAAGAGGTCTACCAGACTTTAAACCTCCACCTGTAAATTTACTCTTAAGTGTAATTACAGAAAGTGTGATAATCGCAATCGTAGCTTATTCAATAACCATGTCTATGGCATTGCTATTCTCTGAAAAACTGAAATATCCAATTGATTCTAATCAAGAATTGTTAGCTCAGGGCGCTGCTAACGTGTTTGGCTCATTTTTTTCTTGTTTGCCATTTTCAGCATCACTGTCGCGTAGTGCAGCTCAACAAACAGTAGGAGGTAAAACTCAAATGGCTAGTTTAATTTCAGCAAGCTTATTAGTAGCTGTAGTTCTTTGGATTGGCCATCTTTTTCAACCATTGCCTAGATGTGTGTTGGCAGGAATCACAGTTGTAGCGCTTAAAGACATTTTGCTTCAAGTATTTGACATCATCAGAATATGGAAAACATCTAAAATAGATGCCGTTATTTGGATAGTTACCTATTTCACTGTGGTACTCGTAGAAATTGACGTGGGTCTTTTGGCTGGTGTTGTGGTATCATTATTTTTCGTGTTTTGCCAGGGTATAAGTAGCGGAATTTACATCTTGGGTCGGATTCCTGATACAGATTTATACGTAGACATGGCAAGATACAAGAAGGCTGTGGAAGTACCTAGACTTCGAATCATTCATTATTCGGGAAGCTTAAACGTAACAAACAGAAACGTGTTCAAAAAGAAAATTATTAATTTATTTTCGGGATATGATGGTGAATTGGCTCCCATAACTATAACTGTGAGCAATGGTAAAGAGACTGTTGTAAAAACTCAGTGTGTGATATTCGATTTAAGTGGTATGCACTACATAGACACTTCGGGATTATCCATGTTTGCCCAAGTTGTGGATCAGTTAAACGAAGCAGGTTTATATGTTTACGTTGCTGCTGTGTCCGGAAATATATATGACTGCATGCAGTCTTCCAATTTTGCATCCGTGATTTTCTTCCCATCTGTGCATGATGCAGCAGTATTTTACTATAACCAGGAACATTGTTGATGCTTGATGGACACCCAAGCTTTTGCTCATTATATAAGTAAACGTTTATTACATTCTTTAGAACGTTGTACCTCTTCTTCGACAACAATAATCTATTCGAGTAGAGCCGTTTCCCTTACAAATTACATCACATAACATATTTATTTTAGGTTTCTATTCAAATCGAAAATGTGATTGAAATTTTATTTTGCATTTTATGCTACTTATTAGACCGAAAGTATTGGTTATTTAAGTTTCTATTCCTCGCTTTTTATGATTATACTTGAGATAATTTAGTAATTCCGTATAACTGCAGTGGTTGCGTATTAAGAGTTGAAGCTAATTTGATTAAAAATGATAGTAGTTTTATATTTGACAAAAAAAAAAATTAGAGTATCACGATATTCAAGTAATAGTTGAAATAGAGATTAAAAAAAATCGTAGATTAATTAAAAATGTTATATGTTATTCATAAAATTTAATCAAGTTGATCTGAAAGAGGTTTATTTTTATTAAAAGTAAATTTAAGTTTTATTAACGTTTAGTATCAATTGTTAAAATCTGAGGCGAAGAAAATATTTTAAAATTTTCTTGTGTGAGCGTCGTTATTATTTTGCATTAGCTTGGAATTTAATAGTTATGTATCAGTCTGTGAATATTTTATGATCTCTGTATGTGTAATGGTACGTGGTATGAAAAGTAAACAATAAAGTTACCAATGTAGATTACTTTATGTAGATGTAGTTTGATATTTGTTTAAATGTATATTGTATGCCAATCACTGGCATACATTTTTCGAATTTATTTTTGTTTTAACATTGTTTTCAATAAATTATTATTACATTTGGATGTAGCAATGAAACTTTTGTTTGGTATGTTGTTAAAAATATATGTTCATTGCTGTATTCCTCTGTTTTAATTTATTTTATTTCATTGTTTTTAATCTTTATCATTTTTCTAGCTAAGTCAAAGCATTTAATTTTCTATATAATACTTTAATTATATACGCAATTTGTTTATTTTTCTAAATTCTCAATTTCTTATTGATTTTGAAACACACATGTGTTAACTGTTGAAATAATGTTTAAAATTGGCAAAAAACACATGACTTTGCATGCATAAAACAGATTATTTTGTTTTCGTAAGAAAACGTGAATATGTGTGCAAGACTTAATAGACAGTAGAGCATTCTTTATTTGTTTTTACATACATAATAATATTTGTAGCTTTATATATTGGCTGTGTATGTTAGTTTTATGTTACGTACAGATTTGTGGTACTTACTATTTTCATTATTTTTTAATGAAATGTTTAATGTAATCATTCCATCACATTGCTATTTTAATGTTTATATAAATAATTTATGTTTTTCTTAATTTTATACCATGTAAAATAATAAATGTGTTTCTATATAAATACAAAATATTTCACAGGTAATAATTGTAATTATAATGGTCTTAAGACTTGGGTATTCATATTTATCATTATAACAGGGTGGAATATTAGTTTAAAATTCGTGTTTATTTAAAAATTATTTTAGTGAGTTAATGTTTTTTAATAAATTTCTGGTGATTTTATTAATAATCTATTTAGATTTTATTATGTGTTATTTGAATAATTCGGCTGAGTCTTGTAATAATTATATTTTTGATCAAAAGTCCAGTGATAAGTGATTTTTTAAGTAAATTAAAGTTACCGTCAGAAAATCTATAAAGAATTTAGGAAATCCATCTTAACTATATATTTTAAATAATTGATACAATTTATGTAATACAATTTATCCCTTACTTAATACTTTCGATGTGATGAAATTATTTGAAATAATATATTTTATTGTATGTATATAAATTGTAATATTGTAATATCCTAGTCTTTAGATCAAGCTTGTTTAGTTTATTATATGTACTTAATATTTGATTATTATTTTAAAATTTGTTAACTTTTTTTTAATAATTATGTATTTTTCTATTGTATATTTTGTGTCCATGAATATGTATTATACATTTTCAGTTGTATTAATAATATACTGTTGATGTACTATAAGTCAATATAAACTGATTATTGAGTTTTTATGGACGTATCAGTGAATTATGTTATCTAATATATTCGAAATATAAAAAAAGACAAAGGATCAAAGTGACATTTTATTTTTATAAATTGAGAGATATTTGAGCTCATATATAATAAACCCATATAGCAGTTTTCAATTTGAATGGTATAATAGAATTATAATGAATATTCAATGTGACTTATTACTCCATTTAACTTGGTAGAAGAAATACTTCTGTTTAAAATTTTTCTGTAAATTTAACTATAAAAACGTATAATTATATTAAAGATAAAAAACATTATCTATAAATATATGTTATATCATTTTTTTCACAATTAAAAAGTTTTTTACCACTGTATTTTGAAAAATTTTAATTATTATATCGATCTCTTACACCCAGAGAAAAACCTCGATCTATATAATAAATTCATTGTTCAATTTGATAAATATATCATAGGTTCAATAGTAATGATATATTTATCAATATGATAATTTTTTTTCTTGTCTTGAATAATAATTATTTATAAGAATAGTTATTTTGTTCGTATTAATAAAACATTATCATAAACCCTTGATAAAATTTCTCTATCAAAATTGTTTGAGGTTTTTCTTTGAGTGTACGTTTTTACTTTTTTTAGTTTTAACAATAAAATAATGTTATTACTGCAATTAAACTTTGTATATGTGTAACTGGGTCAATTGATCATTTTTAATTGTTATATCTTAAACCTAAAAACTGTTAGTTTATGAGATATTTAGATTAGCATCATTCCCCAGTGTTCCTCTACTAGTTTTTTCTCCTAAAAATATTAAAAAAAATTAATTGATTGTGTATTACATGACTTATGATAGAATTAATGTAAATAATTTAAGTCTACTCATCAATCTTAGTTATTTTACTAATAATAATAATTATTGTATTATTTTTTTTTACAATATCTTATTGATTTTTTATAATAATAATGTGTTACACTCAAAATTAAATTTATGTTTTACAACTGTTATTAGAAATGTTACACCTTGATTAAGGTATAAAGTTGCATGGATAACTAATGTTCTATCTATGGCTTCTTAAGGACCGTGTACTTTACTGTCATTGTGGCCAAATAATTCTCCAAGGACCACGGACGGCAGAAAGAGTTATCGTTTCAGGACCAATGAACACGGGTTTTTGAGAAATAACATTTTTGATAGCGGTTAATGATATATACTTTTGTTTAAACTTTTTTATATTTATTTTTAAACTAAAATTCATATTTCAGCTTTTTGAGAATGACGAGTTTAAAGTTTTTAATTCACAAAAAGTGTAATAATATATATATTTGATATAATATAGTACTTTTTGTTTAAGTTATGATTAATAACTTCTATTCTGCACAGCTTTTATAATGACTTACTCAATTAATTTTAAAATAGAATATCGTTGTATAAATAATTTTGTAAAAGCTTTTACTTTATTTTGTAAGCTTTACAAATTTACTTTTATAATTGAATGTTAAACACAATATCAAGTACATAAACATTTAAAAATATTAAAAATACATTTTTAATTCTAAAAGCCGCAAACATATTCTGAGTAAAAAATCGCTAATATGCATTTCAAGAACCAAGTGATCATTATCAGTGCTAAACAATGAAATATACCGACTGCATATGCCTCATATGACGTCATCAGTTGTTCATTTTTGACAGTTTAAAGAAGTTTTAATATTGCATTTTTCAATGAGCTCAAATTCCAATTAATTAAATAATTGTTATTTTTAAGCATTTTCATTGTATACTTTGTACTACGTTTTTCATAATGATTTAGGATTTTAATTAATTTCAATGTTTTTATTATGTATTAATAAATGATCATCTACTGAATAATCTAAAGTAACAGCTTTCAGTAGTGTAGTTTTCAGATTAAGTTATTTATTAATTAAGTTATCTCGAAGAATAAAATATATTTTACTAAAGAATTGGCCTTTATACAAGAAATACCTAAATTTTATATAGGGTGTATGGAAAACATTACTTCAAAATTAGTCCATAAATAAAAATGGTATAAAGAGATTAGATCTATTAGTACACTTCATAGTAAAAGGGAACAAAAAGTAATTTGATTGCCCATTTAGAATTTTCAAAAAAATTTTAAATTGCATTAGTAAAAGCTTAAAAAATTTATTAGGTTGTAACTCTAAAGATTAAGAAGAAAAGGGAAAATTGAGAGTATATAAAATACAATTTGAAAGTTGTAATAAGTTTTTTATATATAGGCCAAACTAAAAGACAAATAGAGATTAGATTTAAAGAACATTTAAGAAATTTAAAAATCAATAAGTTGATAAATCTCTAGTAGCTAATTATTTAATCATACATAACTACAATAATAAAACTAATTCAAAACATAAATAACTGGAAATAATTTAATAAAGGGGGACAATAAAAATGATAGAATTAATTATAGATTTTTAATATTTTAAAATATTATTAGCTACAAGTTTATCATTAATTTTTATTACAATATTAATATATCAGTTAAATGAAACATTTAGTGTGAGATGTTTGTTGTTATTTTTTAAAACTAAATACCATTCTCGAGGGACATATGTATCCGTGTTAATAACTCTAAAAATAAGTTGTAACAACATAAATTACCAGAGTCTTTAAGAATTATTTTTTTAACCAAAATAAATTTACACTCTTAATGAAAAGAGCAGAAGTATTCATTTGATGTTTCCATGCGCACACAAGGCATACGTAGCATTAACACCCCCTCGCGGGATTTCCCAGGGGATGCTACTGTTTGGCGCCGTTTGTATACTTGCATTTTCAGTAAGCGCTGTGACGTTGGTGACTGCGGTGTTTTTTATGTTTAGTTAGTTTTTTGAGGCGCGGGAATTGCAATTGATATTATTTATATCACTAATTCATTTGTAGTTGTTCTCTTATCAATATTAAATGAAATAGGTGAGTAGATATCAATTTGAATAGTAAAACATTAATATTAAATATAATAAAAGTTATTTTATTTCAAAATTAATGAATATTTTTGATTCAATATATTAAATTTAAATCAAAATTATTTTAGTTTTAATCATGAATTTCTATATTCAGAATAATAGATATTGTTATTGTTTAGTTTTGTGTCGAATAATTTCAAAACCAATGACAAACATCAGTGTAAGGAATAATTAACTTGATTTGAGTTTTTTTTTAATTTAGAAGATAAAAAACAATAATTGATAAATTTAAGTTTAACTATAATTGACTATAATGTACTCCATCCTGTTAACATTAAATAAATTATATCAAATAAATGTAATTGTGAATTTAATTATTATCACAAACACATAATAATTTAATTTCTAATGATATGCTATTATGACATCCGTTATTGCATATTTTTTTATAAAAGTTGTTATATTTTTTCTAACTTATGATTGTATTGGGTATTTTATTGAATTTGGAATTATTTTTAATAATAAATATACTTTTATTACTGATAAAAATACAATATATTGTTATATTATATTATAATATTTTTTTTATTTGGGATAGCATATATTATGCTAAAGAACCATATGATTGTATAATTTCTCATATCTCAGATGAAGTCTATTATGGTTTTTTTTTTTTTGAAATTTATTTTACTATACAATAAGACAACTTTTAATTATAATTAAATAATCGAGATAAAGTTGTCGGTTAAATATTTAAACATAATTCAATTAGTCAAATCACTCAAATTTATATCCTTAATATTATACAATTTAGTTCAATAGATATTTGATGACTTTCTTGTTTTTATACCAAAAATATTTACATTTGAAGAGGAGCACTTTAATGAGAACCAGCTGATGTTAATGATTCTTGGCTAATAAAATCATAAATTATATATTCGTGGTTTTTTGTTTTCAGTAGCTATAATTCTGTAATACTCATTGACATTATATAAAAATGGTATAATTTGTCTAGTCATTAATACATCAAATTTTTTTAAAAGCTATTTTTTTCCTTTTTAACTTTATTTATCTAAAATGCGACCTTTCATCTTCAAAGGTATTTTGACTAAATATTACTATTTGGCTTTTGAAGGAATATTTAACCTCGTCGACTAATACATTTTGTTTAAATAGGTTCAATACCATACCTCTGACAAAGAATGTAATTTTTCGTTCTTAAGATAACAGTCAAAATCCCATTTTTATTTTTACAAAGCAGCTATGTACTTTAAGTAAAGATTGATGCTGCTAGTCCCAGAAAATATCAAGATACTGTAACACATTTTTATTTTATATTATAAATTGTAATAGTATATTTGTTCAACAGAAATGTATAAATTAATAATTAAATATTTTTAACTGACTAAAATAAATCAAACTATAAAGACTCTACTCTATATCAAGTTTACATTTCATTATTAACTTCAAGAAACTAGTTAAAAAAAATTTCTATGATCTTAATAATGATTACCCATATCTAAGTGTATTTAAAAAATAGTTACTTTAAAAACTTTATTTTAAAAATATGACTGTAGCGTTTTCAAATAGAAGTGTTTTCTTTTGAACAATTAAATTGTCCAACTATAGTCTGTGTAAACTGAAATAATGCCACATGTACTCGTTCTTTAAATGGGTTTAACGTATATAAATAAATATAGGTGTAATTAGCATAAAGTCAATAGTATTTATTCAATTTATCCAATAAATTCTGTATTAAAAGAAAAAGATTTCACACTCAAGTAGACCAAATCCAATTTTAATTAGTTCATTATATATAAAATATATCTCATACATGACAGATATAACTAAAATGTACAAAAATAAAACATTTTAATGATAAAATAATAGTATATAAGAAATATTATCGCAATATTATCTGACTCATAGGATGAAAATATATAATTAAACTTAATAATTGGGGTTTTAAGATAATGTAATATAAAGAAAAAAGTAAGATATAAAAAGTATTATACAAATAATGATATATACAAAGTAAATAGTTTTAGCGTAATAAATAAGTACTATAATATTTACAATATTCAAATTCATCGAAAGTATTGAAATTAAAAAGAATTCAATTTAAAAAAAAACGTTTATTGGAATGCGGATTACAATGTAAATACCGGAACAATAATAATAATAAATTATTATTATATACACCCAAAGAAAAACCTCAATCAATTTTGATAGAGAAATTTTATCAAGGGTTTATGATAATGTTTTATTAATACGAACAAAATAATTATTCTTATGAATAATTATTGTTCAAGATAAGAAAAAAAATCATTATATTGATAAATATATCATAGATTCAATAGTAATGATATATTTATCAAATTGAATAATGAATTTATTATATAGATCGAAGTTTTTCTCTGGGTGTAGAATATAATATATATATTTTTATATAGTATAAAAGAGATAACACGTGCGCAGAATTTATTTATTGTTTTGCTCTTTGCTTTATAATTTAAAATATAATTCTTAAATAAGAGTTATTACCCATTAAAATTTTAAGATTGCACCATAATTAATGAAAATTTGAGAATTAAGATATTTCAGTAGAGCGTAATTATTACAGACTATGTGGTTTTAATAGAAATCACATTATAAATTTTAAAATATAAGATATTATCTTGGCAGGTATATTCCTACTAGTATTAATACCATATACTGCTTTTTACATATGGCAAGAGGTTATATTGTGATCCTCTCCTAATTTCACATCTCAAATTATAAATTTTGATTATAATTAATGATTAATTTTCTTGAGTTATTTCCTTTGTAATTTCTTAGTCCATAAACATAAAAAGACTTGTGAGCCTGTTGTAATTATGTATTAAATAATTTATAAAATATACATCGGTATATATCGGTCGTAGTTTCAATTATATTTGAAATAATATATTATTTATATTAAAACTATAATTTTGATGAATTTTTTTGCTAAAAAATTTACTAAAATTCAAGAATTATCACTAACAATACGATTTTGTGGAGCAAAAAAATATTTAACTGCAATTAAAACTTAATAATCGATATTTATTCATAGCGTATATAATTCCATGGTACTAATGTTTTAATACATTTTTTAGATTTCACTCAGCATTGGATTTTCGACAAAAATAAAATGAATTTATCATTGGACCACTTCGTCAAAAATGTTTACCAAATAAAAACTATTTGTTGATATTATTTCATAAATATCATGGACTACATAAGAGAATTTGATATTAGATTAGACAAAGAAATGTTCTACGCTGGAGAAATATTAGAAGGTCATGTTGTACTGGATACAATTGAAAACTTTAAACTAAAAAGTAAGTGTTTATACGTTTATTTATTCATTCTTAAAGACATTTTATTTTATAAACTTCAATGTTTTATTTTGTTCATTCTCTTTAAATATGTTTGACCCATTATTGAGATAGACAATGGACATTATTGATTGTTTAATCGTCCATTCTATTCTCATTTTGACTAAAATATTTCGCTTTTGAAATTTCACACGCTCTTCATATTACTTCGTATTTAGCTAATTGTTGAAATTTAGTTTTTCCACTTAGTAAATTAATAAAAGGTAAATAAAATTAGGGGAAAAAAATCATTATTGTTTATTGATGCTTTTGACACACATAAGTTTAAATGCTGTATGATGTAATATTTTTATGGATAAAGCGGATTTTTAATTTATATAAGTTTGTCATTCATCAATAAAGTTTAAATAATTTATATTTGATTTTTGATTAATGAATTTAACGTAAATCGTATATCATTGTTATCCATAAGTTTCCTGATTTTTACCAACAAGTATTTGAGCTAATGGATACATAAGAGCTTTAGAGATTCTTTAGTCGTGAATTCATTTGAATTAATAGATACCTACAGTTTATTGCAATAAAACGTCTAAAAGGTCAATAGTCGTGTAGATGTCTATTTTTTGTGGTTTTGAGTTTTCATAAACTTTTAGTAAATAATTTTTTTTACCGTGAAAGAGTTTTTTTAATGATTACATATTAGTTAAAATTGTTTTATCTATTATTATTATGAATGTTGAGAAATTATATTTTCAGTATTTTTGTGCCAGTAAAATACAACTCTTCGTATTAATAACACACACAAAAATATTGTATCTAATGAGCTAGATATCATTTCACTATATAAAAATAGGACATACAAAAAAAAATATAACATTGAACTATACTTTTCAATATAACTATTGCAGTCTTACATTGAATTACATAAACAAATATTATGTTAAATGTTGGTATTCATTTGTGAAATATTTTTAATGAAATTCTATTTTTTATAACACATATTAATATATATAAGTTTTAAACGGTCAGTGTATTTTTATATTTTTGATCTGACCATTGGCTTTTAATTGTTAGATTAAGATGTTCTCTTACTGAGTCAACTTTTAAGTTTATTCAATCAAGTTGAAATCAATATTAAAACTGAAAATTAATCTTCAAGTAAAATATCAAAATAAATAGTTCAGTACATTACAAATAGTCAAAAATATACATCCAGATTTCATTAGTCACAAATGTTATTTTGTTTGTATATACTATTTTTGAGACATTTCAGATTATATTTTTGACGTCGAAAATATTAATAACGTATTTTTGTATCATCATTAAATTCATCCATTAAATAATTTATAACTTTGTTTTTTTTATTCCATAAATAGTATAACATTTTAGTATTAAAAATGCATCAATTCTTTTTTCTGATGTTATTTTGAAATACTTAATGTGTCATTATTACACTAATACTTTATTGTAGCGAACTACAATAGGACATGTACTGATCTCAATATTCGAGTAAAAGGAAATTCCCAGGAATATTATGTGGTTGTATTTCTATTGAAATGCCAAAATGCGAAGAGATTGTTAGTGCAAAATGTTGCTGACAGACGACTGGTATAAATATGAACACATCGTATAATTTATTAATGGTATTGTGTGTATTCATGTCGTTCGCATGTCTATAAAGCTGTAGGAGAGGAAAATTATATCGACTATTTACTGTAGTGAACAAAGACAGAGATTTGTAGTAAAACAAGAGACAATGTTCGAGATTAATAATTTTAACTTGAACAAGATAATTTGAAAAAACTTAAGAGATTTTTTAGCTTTTAAAAATGATATCACGATAAATCTTTAATGGACACTATCGTTAATATTATTGTTTAATAATGTTTGGCAGTTTTATATTTAAAAATTGATATCTATTGTAAAAATAAAACTAAAGCATTAGCCGACGCGTTTTATACTGCGGTACCTTAAATTTTTATTACCCTAAATAGAAATGTAAAAAACCTATGGTGTTTGTAAATGAAAATTTATACATTGTGGTTGCTTTATATTTTTAAAGGAAATTTCAATAAAAAGTAAACTGAAAAAATAACAACGGTGCTTTTTTGTTGACAAGTTAAAAATGCAATGGTCTTACACTTTGCCATGGTTTTTACATCAATCCATTAAAAACCGTGTCAATTGTTTTTATCCACATTTTGTAAAAATATCAATTATATGTGTGAATATGAATTTGATATGTAATTACCATATCGAGTGTTTATACATCTTTTTATTTTATACTTAAAAACGTGCGTAAGAATGTTAGTAAATCGATACTCCAACCACGATGACACTTACACACATTGAACTTTTGGGTTCCGTTGGTTGGCTAAGGAGAAAAAACTTTTCGTTATAGATGCTGCCCTATATTCGGTAGCAAACACAATATACTCGTCTAAAGGCAATGCTAAAGATTTATTATTCTACCCATCAAACCAGTAACCGTTTCTGTTAAGCTTCTTTATTCAAATTATTCTATTGCTGCGTCAAATAACCAGTAAAATAAAATATGTACACGAGATATTACAATTATAACTTGTATACAGTAATAAATAATTTCTGGTGAATATTATTCACTTTAAATGTTTGTATATATCGACACATAGGTTTTGTTGATTATAAACTTACTCCGAATAGTAAGCAACTGTTGAAATTAATTGACAACATGCAATGTTGCCTACATTTTGTACGCTTATGAATATGTAAAATGTGAATAACGTTTACGGCTAAAAGTTATCTTATTAGGCGACAATATGAATTATATAAACCTCAATGTTTTGCTTGCGCATGAACACGAATCTGCTATTCTAACACAGTGTAGGGGTAGCTCACCCTTGAATTTTAATACTCTCATTAACATGCTACAAACAAGTCGAACTGTTTGATGGAGTTAATTAAATTATAACTGTACTGTATTATTTTACAATTTAATTGTAGTCTTCATTAGAATTTTGTATTTTAATTTAATCTCACTAGTACCAAAATAAAATGCTGCTTAACTATTATAAAATACTCACAATGTTTCGGAGAAGAACAATTAGAACAATTTGTTAAAAGCTAAAATTACATAAAGCTCATCGAAATATGTTACCAAACTAATTTAAAGGACTACTTACAAACATGATTTGTTACGTTATTTACCCTTTAGCGCTATCGATGTATTCTTTATGATTCACCAATTTGAACGACAAGAATCCGAAGTTCAACTATAACTAAAATTTAATGAATTCTTATGATTATTTTTTATTCAATTGAACAATTATTTATTTGTGCATATTTATTTACTCTTATGGAAATTTATGCTTTTAACATTACATAAATTTATACAACTTTTATATTCAACTTCTTTTTTCTGGAAGGTTAAATGTTACAGTTTTAGTATTAAAGTGATTTTAAAATTTTATCGTGTGAATATAATGGCTATTATTTTATATAATGATTGAATGATAAAAAAAATTATTTTTATTTTAAGTATTCTTTAAGTTATAATTAATAATTCAATTTTCCTGTTATACAATTTCACAATTTTGAAATGATTTTAGTATAGATGTTCATAAAATAATAATTGATTTTAATGCTAATATTGAAAACTCTATAAAAAGACCATTCGATTTTTTTTACAACTGTTTAGCTTAACGCTTGATATGACTACTTAATTTGTTATTTTTATTTAAATGAATATTAATTAAAAAATTACTTAAAGAAATTGTCAAGTTTTAAATCAAATATTAATAGAAATAAAATTAGATTTTATTTCAATTAAATGATAATTATTAATGGATAATATGAATATAAAACTTATATATCATGAGAACTTATAGTATTTTTAAATCTAGTTTACTAAATTATTAATTAAAATATGCTTTACGTAAGTTAAGTAGTCACGTGCACTTTAATGAAGGTATTTTTACTTATATATGATATAATTTTGAAAATAAAAAATTATGCTCCTTTTTCATAATTTTTTTAATACTGTAAATAAAAATTAAAAATATATAATTTAATGAATTTATTTTTTTATATATTTATATTGCATAGACATCATTATATTAATTATGGTATAGGCGCATTGATCATTAGTGTAAATGAGTAGGATAAATAAATAAGGTATTCGAAGATCATCTCTTTATTAATGAGGAAAAACAAAATCGTAATTTTATTGTAGTATTTTAATTTAAGAGACAGTGAAATCATTTTATAATGAAAACCAAAAAATTAATCGATAGAAACAACACATAGCTCTATATATATTTTCTGTGCCACTTCTTATCACACTTATATGTATACTATATGATTTAATTTAAAAAAACAAAAATTTATTTATTTAATTACAGACACATTTTGCATTTTAAAAATTATGTCTACATAATGACTCTGTCTATAAATTTAATGCTTGTGGTATTGTGGTAACCCTTTTTTTTATTTCTAGAAGACATTGACAGGCAATAGAATGACATAGAAGACATGGGAAGCTTTAATTAGATTAGAAATAAAATGTATTTTGTTGGCGGTAAAATTTGCATAAAAATATCAATATAAAATAAATTACAATGACCAATTTTATTTTAAATAACTGTAAATAGAGTCTCTAAATTACACCCAGAGAAAAACCTCGATTTATATAATAAATTTATTGTTCAATTTGATAAATATATCATTACTATTGAACCTATGATATATTTATCAATATGATAATTTTTTTTCTTGTCTTGAATAATAATTATTTATAAGAATAATTATTTTGTTCGTATTAATAAAACATTATCATAAACCCTTGATAAAATTTCTCTATCAAAATTGATTGAGGTTTTTCTTTGGGTGTAGAGAGAATATATAAAACCTAAATATAAAATGAATTACCTAATGAAAGATTTAAGAATTACGCTTAAACATGATACTACATGTGTATAAACTGTTTAACAACCTTTCTTCCATATTTCTATTAGATGAATAATAATTAAAGTTTGGGGTGATTTTATAGTAGTGAGAGGCTGTTTACATAAAAAGATAATAACAAGGAAACATATTAATATTAAAAGTACAATTCTATTTAAAAAAAAAAAAATAACGACAAAAAAGATTTCCTTTTATAATAATATTTTTTATCAATTAAAATAACATTAAAAGAATGTTGTTTTCAAAAGAAAGTATTGGATTTTAATTTATTTCTCCAAAACGCAAACTTAAAAATTAAACAATTCTTAAATATTGCAGTTGGTAAAAATTCTGCGGTCATGCGTGTTTCAGAGAAATACATGTATATTATACAAACAATAGTAGATAAAAATACATAAAACGTCATTTATAATTTTACTTAGGACGAACAATAAATTCAAATCAATATATTATGTAAATTTATAATTTAAAACACTTATTACTTTGTATTAAATTTATTTATTTTTATGAATACAATGTTTTACAAATGAAGCAAGGATTGAGGTTCATTAGTCATTTATTATACTTTGAGACATAAATAATTTATGCGCACTTTAGTAATGCTTTCACTGCAGTATGCACAAACAAAATATTAAGCATAAGTCCAACTAAAGTGGGATTATTTTTGTCAATAAACATTGAAATATTACAAATTATAAAACATGAAAATTTATTAAGGAATTTCATAAAAAAGTTTTCACTGTATGTACTTTATGGAAAATTGAGAATATTATTTTAAATGCATTTTATAATTTTATTTAAATTCGAAATGTTATAACAAAATTTCAACGTAATTATTGTCTATTTGTTATTAATTTATTCTATAGAAAATAAAATTTGCAAAATTGTAGAGTAATTTCAGTTGAAAATTCAATAATAATTTACAGCTATGCGAATAGTTCTCAGAGGTAAAGCTCATGCTGAATGGCAAATTTTGGTTAGTGGTGATCGGTCAGCAGTAAAAGATGACCAATACTTTATTGATAATAGATCACTTATATTCGGGAAAGGTAAAAATCAATACTATAGTCAGTTTATTTACTGATTTTAATTCCTTGATATTCATTTCAGCAGATCGACATGACGGTCCTGTTCCCATATTGCCACGTGGGATTCATCATTTTCCATTTAGGTTTCAATTACCTCAAAGCTCATTACCGTGTTCATTTGAAAGCAAGCCAGGTTATGTTAGATACTATATAAAGGTAAAAGCTATTCTACATAAATAATTATATTAGTTAAAATGTTTTCAAATTAATGATTATTCTAATATTACATTGTAGGTGACACTTGATATTCCTTATGCGTCGCCTCCTCAAGGGATGAAATATTTTACTATAATAGGACCGCATATAGACTGTATGGATGATCAATATCTCGTAAGTAAAATTACAATACAACTATTTACCATTGTTTAAAATGGCAATAGTATGGATAATCGATAACTTGATGGTGTTAAACTTTCCAACACATAAATCTTCCATATATCTCAACAATCCTTTAATGATATAAATATTTTATTAGTGTATAAATATGTTATATATGGATAAATACTAGGTCCTAAACTATTCATAGTTTCCTTTATATCTTACAAAATGAAATGTGAATTATTTATCGTTAGGATGTTATGTATATTTTTCCTTTTATGATCTTACTAAAAAAAAAATATCGGAATCAATATTATTCAAAACACATGTTTTAACGTGGCTATTATATACATTTTATTATTCATAAAGAACACTCGAAAAAATATTTTTATCATTTTAAAACCCTTAATATATTTTCACAAATCTGTATTAGTTTAACAATTTTTTAGGGATTTCAATTTTACATCTCGTTTTTTAAGATTTACACTCTATTCATAAATAACTACAAAGTTAATCTATTAGCTAATAAAATCCTAATAATGAAATAAATTAATAATATAACCCGCAAATCCATACCGCACAATTCCTATTAAAATATATCTTACAAATTATCAAATGTTTCTCTATTTTAGAAAGTTAGTACTATAGTATAGTTTTATTTTATAATTTATAAATTAATTATATTTTCATATAATGTAAAATTAAAAAATAATTAATGTAAGTTGAACCCCTTCCCAAAAAAACTAGTACTGTGGGATCGCAGTATAGTTGGTACATGTATAGATGATATCTGACAGTGATTAACATCACTATCATAAAAAACACTTCAATGCAAATCTGTTAAATTTCACAATAATATTTATATCTCTAATTTCAGAATTTTTATATACTAAAATTTCACTCAAATATTAAATGCTTGTTAAATTATTTGCAAGTTAAAATTAAAGAATTTTTTTTTTTTGACAGTCGATTTTACATAGTAGAACATTTTTTTATGTAGTAATACATCTTAAGAGCTTTAATTTATATACGTTCAAAGTTGTCAGACTTTCTGGAACATTTTCAAAAAATGAGTTGAAAAAAATCGTTTACATGCGTAGATAGTCTTTTTCAAACCCTTTCTGTACTTAAATCATTTATCAAATGTCCATAAGAATTACATCAAAAGAAAGATTATTGCCTCTTACACATTTTATTGAAACTTTATTAGGAACAGTGTTTTTTACCAAAAGTTATAGAAATTTTAAAATACAGAATAAAATTTAACGGAATTTTGAGATATTTTTTTATTTTAAAATTATATTAAAAATATTAATTTAAAACTAAAAAATATTCAACTCAAAAGCAACAATAATTACTAAAAAATCGCGAATACGTATTTCGGAAACAGTATGTGTTTAACGTTGATAATGGTAACATTATTCCATCCGCGATTTTGTAGTAATTTTTGTGGCTTTTTGAGATTAATATTTGAATTATTTTTCAATTTTAAATTAATATTTTTATATAATTTTAAATAATATTAACTCTAAGTAATTAATTTTTGTTATTTTTTTAATTTCTAAAATTGATGGGGTTTTATAAAAATTTCGGCACTAATGTGTTTAACTAGAATAAAATTATGTACTATTGATGCATAAACCAAAATAAGTTCAGTGAAATCTAAGAAAAATAAATGACTGACAAAAATAAACATATAGTAATATTAATACCTTCTTATCTTCGCAAATAATATGCCCCAACACTTTCTGTAGACACCTACTTTTATATATAAATGGCCTCCGTAATTATAAAACATACATTTATATGTTCAAATTTTCCATTATATATATTAGGGTGATTCTTAGTCATATAGGTCAATTTTTTTTTTGTCGAAATTCATTCAGGACGCCCCCTATAATAGTTCTGTTAGGTAAAAAAATAAGTTGTACAAAATTTGGTTGAAATTGAGTGACATTAACACGTGCCGCAAGAGGGTTGAAAATTCGTCTGTAAGGATGGTTTTTCAGTTTTCTTCATTTATCTTACAAACTATGTAATTTGCAGAAAAAATCATAAAATTTATTTTCTAGAACTATGTGTTTTCCATAAAAAATATTATTATAAAAAAACCAGCACAGGGGGGTCGCGGCACAGTGGTGACGTGGCATAGTTGGATCAAGTATAATGATATCTGATAGTGATTCAAATCACTATCAAAATAAAACGCTTCGATGCAAATCATTAGATAGTGTTTAATTTAAAAAAATTGGTGTTTTATTCCAAAAGCTACATGATCTGCTAGTTCCTTATTAATATCCTGATTAAGATAAAGTATATCGAATGAAAAAGGGATTATAAATAAATATTATTTTTCATAAAAAAATTGTGTTGATCCATACACTTTTCAATAAGTTATAGCATTATAAAGTTAAAAAAAAAATGTAAAAAATAAAATCGAGAATTTTCACACAAAAATAGCATTTGGTAGCCATTTTCACCATGAAGACAAGTCCAGAGGTCAAATTTTTTTTTCCATAATAAAGTACATTACATACATACAAATCTTTAATATAAGATACATAAAAAAGTGTCAGACTTTCCGGAACATTTTCAAAAGTTAAGTTGAAAGAGTTAATTTTTTGTGAAAAAGTTGTCATTTTAAATCCTCCCCTGTGGGCAGGTTAAGTGTCAGATTTACAAAAAATATATACCAATTGATAGATAAAGATATCAAGCACCTATAAAAAAAAATTATATTGATATGTTCATTTTTGAAAAAGTTATGGCTGTTTTTAGTAAAAAGAGTTGAAAAAATTTCGAAAATTAGTGATTTTTAAATTTGTAATTTTTTTGGAGGTTTCCTCCATTTACGGGGAATGAGGAAAATTTTTTCAATTTTTAAGGGTAATGTCTTCAACTAGATACGATTTTTGATCTTTTGACGTATCGTTGAAAGAAATCCGTTCGGTGAGAGCTGAGTAAAAGTGGTAGCAGACACAAAAAAATAAAAATAAAAAAAAAAAACACATCATAGTAATACCTTCTCAGCTTCGCATCAAAGCTAAAAGTCCGTATCTATAATATTTAGGCCTAGAAATTTAAAAAACAACATATATTTATTTAAACCATTGAAATCAGTTTTATTTGTTTTCTTAAGTATTGCAAGCGCACTATTGAACCTATAAAAAAAGTTTCATACAAAAATTGTTCAAAATTTAATTTTCATTATATTTGTTGTATTTTCAATTTATTGTTATCAAATTAAGTTAAACTATTCGCGTATTTACTTGCAAAAAATGATTTTATACTAATACACAAAACAAATTAATTATAATTACAGTCGCATATTGAAATTACAATATTTTTTAATTTACAACTGAAGTATGTAAATTCTTATATTCATTGAGCCTGTATTTAATAATGGTTGCTTTAATTATACTATAATAGGTGACTAACATTTTCTATTTTTGGTAACGATATATTTTTTACCCAACTATTTGTTGCGGTATTATCACAAATGCATCTATTGACATTTATTATTCTTAAATCAAAGTTTAATCAAGTTCGATAACTGTTGTATATATTGCTGCATTAAATAGCGATTAGTATTATTGATCCTTACATAATATACGATAATGATTGTATACTTTTTTATACAGTTCAGTGTTAACTGAGTGTTACATTGTTGTGTTTACAAAATAGAAATATTACTATATAATTATTATTCCATTATTATTATTTGAAAATGGTTTCGAGATCTAGTTTACGTGAGTCAAATTTTATATATTTGATTGGATATAGTTCAAACCAAATAGTTGGTAGCAAATTGCCGTCCAATAGACAAATTTTGACAGTATTATTTTACAATATGAGGGAGGTAAAACTAAATTTGCGTTTAAGTGCCTCTTTGATTGTACAAGAGGTTATTATATTTTGGAAAAAAGCCCGTATTCCCACAATTACTGAACAACATAGTATAGAAATAGTAAAAAAATTGTACCACGACTGGAGAAATTTACAAAAATCAGAACACCAAAAAACTGAAGTTCAATATAAAAAAAATTCTGATTTTGTTTTGAACCTTGAAAATTTGTTTGATATAGCTCATGCTGATGCCTTTAATATTATAAATATTAAGAAAGACAAAGAATTTTTAATAGCTCACCGGAAAAAAGGGCGTCTTGGTTCAATGGTTGGCGTCGACAAAAAATTAGAAAATAATGAAACTAATATTGAAAATAGAAAACTAGCGGATGATCGTAGAAGAGCTTGTGCTAGTAAAGAAATTGAAGCTATTAGTAAATCTTAATATGCTCAGTTAATACGATTAACCAATTAACTATTAACGTACTTTTTAGCTGAAACTGTACAACTACAGTCGTCTAGCAGCAGTGATGAATTAATTGATGATAATGCTCATAATATGAAAGAAGACCAATGTGAACCACTAAGAAAATGTTTTAAGACAAGATGAGGTACTGACAATTGTATAACAGAAAAATTGTCTATAGCACTGGATAGATGTAAAATAAGTGATGGTGATGCGGTACATATTTTAGTGGCAGCTGCGGAAGCATTTGGCATTGATTCTAGTAAATTAATATTGAATAAATCATCGGTTCGACGCTCTCGACTACTCTTCCGTCAAGAACGTGCAGAAAAAATACGACAGGATTTTATGGTAAAAAGAGATGGGACAATTGTGCTTCATTGGGATGGAAAACTTCTTCCTGTCATTACAGGTAAAAATTTAGTCGATAGATTACTTGTGATTGCTTCTTGCGGTGGTGAGGAACAACTTCTAGGTGTCCCTTTTATAAACACTGGCACCGGGAATGATCAAGCTTCTGCTGTGTTCAAAATGCTTATTGACTGGTGCTTAACAGAACAGGTTCAAGCATTTTGTTGTGACACAACTAATTCAAATACTGGCCGTTTGAACGGAGCTGTATTATTTTAGAACAGTTATTAGAATGTAATGTAATATATATACCTTGCCGTCACAAAAGGGGTTTTTGATGTCAAATTTGGTGGAACGTCAGGCCCAGATAAATAAAAATAATTTTAGGCCTGGTATAGTTTGCAATCTTATAATGGATTCATTAAAGGATACTTGTCAAAATATTCTTAATTTTGCTAAGGACAGTCTTGAATAATTCAATTATTAAACCATCCAAGAGACGACTATAATGAATTATTAGAGTTGACAATAATATTCTTTTATACATTTTTTTTATCATTGAATATTTATATATATTTTTTCGGCAATGTGAACATTTTTCCAAAATGATTAATTTTTATCAATTATTTTATTTGTCTTCAGTAACGTAAGATAACTTTATTATAAAATTAAATTAATTTGCTTTGTTTTTGTACTTTTGTACTTGTATATAATCATTTTTTGCGAATAAATACGCAATAGTTTAACTGAATTTGATAACAATAAATTGAAAATACATCAAATATAATGAAAATTAAATTTTGAACAATTTTTATATGAAACTTTTTTTATAGGTTCAATAGTGCGCTTGCAATACTTAAGAAAACGAATAAAACTGATTTTAATGGTTGAAATAAATATATGTTGTTTTTTAAATTTTTAGGCCTAAATATTATAGATACGGACTATTATATAATAATATTTATTATGGAAAACATATAGTTCTAGAAAATAAATTTTATGATTTTTTCTGTAAATTACATAGTTTGTAAGATAAATGAAGAAAACTGAAAAACCATCCTTACAGACGAATTTTCAACCCTCTTGCGGCACATGTTAATGTCACTCAATTTCAACCAAATTTTGTACAACTTATTTTTTTACTTAACAGAACAATTCTAGGGGGTGTCCTGAATGAATTTCAAAACTTCATTTTTAAGAACCATCCTAATATATATATAATATAAATATTATATTTTAAACTTTAAACTGCTATAAATTTTTGAAAAAAGTATTGACCAATATTATTTTTTATAAATTATGTATATATATCCCTTTCATTCGACATAATTTTTTTTTTTTAATCGGACCATTTTTCGCAAGTGTATAGTAATTATATAAATATATAAATATTTTTTTATGTTGTCACCATATCATTTGTCTGTAATAAGTATAAAATGGAAAGAATGTTTGAAATGGCTAAATCTCCTTCTTCTTCTTTCTCGATTTAATTCCAACTACTTGGGGTTGGCCACCCTTATCCTAAACTTCCACTTGACACGATCTCCCACATCCTCTACGCTCACATCAGCTGTCCTCATATCGCATTCAATAACATCTCTCCATCTCTTTCATGGTCTTCCTCTACCTTCCTTCAACAATAATTGCTACAACTGTTCTTACGGCTTCCGAATCTTCTCTCCTCATAACATGACCAAACCATCTAAGTTTATTTTCTCTCATCTTATCCACGATTGACGCTACACCTCTTATATACTCGTTCCTTATCCTATCTTCTCTAGTCACTCCACTTATCCATCTTAGCATTCTCATCTCTGCTACACTCATTTTGTGCTCTACTTTCTTATCAACCGCCCAACACTCTGAACCATACATCATAGCTGGTCTCACACTACAGTCTTGTAGAAATTATCTTTCAGCCTCATTGGAATTCTTTTATCACATAAGACACCAGACGCTTCTCTCCACTTCAACCACCCGCACTTAATCCTGTGTCTTACGTCCTCGTCAATACCACCGCTCTTTTGCACAACTGATCCTAAATACTTGAAACTTTCCACCTCTCTAATCGCGTCCTCGCCTATTGTCATTGATCTCCTTATTTCACCTACCTCGTGTTCTCCTTGGTCAAACTCGTACTCTATATAACTCTGTCTTTCTCCTACTTATTCTTAAACCCTTTTCTTCAAGAGCTGATCTCCACACCTCTAGCCTTTGATTAATTTCCTCCCTATTTTCTCCTATTAACACTATATCGTCAGCAAACAACATGCACCACGGCACCTCTCCTTGTATTTCTCTAGTAATTTCAATTTTAAAATGGCTAAATCTCCTCACCTTAAAAAATATTTTATATGATTTTTTCAAATTTCTTGGGAGCTATGTCTCTTACACTTAACACTTATTTTATTAGTGGTCAAATAACATTTAAATTGTGTTATATAAAACAACGAGCTTTGACATTTAAATAATCTACAATACTAAGATACATCTTTCTGAAATTTGAAAAAAAATTATCCTATTTTTTAATTAAGGTTGTTCTATTTAAAGTTATAGAAAATTAAATCACTATTTTAAATTAGTGATTGTTTAAAACTATTTAATATTATTTTGTACTCTTTTGAAAAACTAGATGAGTTATTTTGTAAACATAATACAATTCCATTTTTTTTGTTTAAGTCAATGAGATTACAAAACGTATTCACAGAACTACTTTCAGTTGTGTTTCAACCGCTTAACTCCTTTAATTGCTTAAAAAAAAGGTAAATTGAATATCACAAAGAAAAACAGCAATGGAGTAAATGGGATATAGAAACTAATTTTCTATCTTGTTTAATACTAGGTTACAAAAAATAAAAATAAAGTTTACATTATTTTAATTTTTAATTTAACTCTACACATTTATTAAACAAAAATAATTTAAGTGTGATCAGTTTACAAAATTAGTGATACAATTAATACTTTTATACTATAAAAACTATGCAATTAGTTCGTTAAAACATACTACAAACAAATGAGTTTATACGAACCCATTTGATGCTCCCGTGAAAATTATTGATTACTGTAATATAAAAAAAAAATAGTATCTCAAATTTGTACCAAGATCGAATTAAGAGGGGACTACGGAACTTGTATCTTAATATTTTGAGGCTTAAAGTTTTTCGTTAAAAGTTAGCATAAAATATAAAGTTTTAATGATCACTATGATATAGAGACTTTACTTATAATTAGAACTTCGAGCCTCACATGTTCTTTATCCAGACTTGATGTTAACCTATTATAACTTTGGTAATGTACATATTATGTAAAAATGAGAAACAACTACGTCATTTCACGTTAGTTATTTATTAAGAACTAATGAAAAATATGATAAAAATATTAATTTAAAAGGTATTTATCAACTATAAACCCACTATATGATATTTCTGACCAACAAACATGTTATTACTACAACATTAATACCAATACATTATTTCTAACATACAACCAAAATGTTTTTAATTAAAAATTTTTTTTTTCATAGCAAGTATTTTACTTTTATAGAAACCTATTGGAGCTTTAGAAAAACGGTCCAAATGTTGTATGTGTTGTAAAAGCAATAGAATTGTATTGCAATGTCAATTAGAAAGAACAGCATACGTCTGTGGGGAAGCACTACGCCTGAAAGCTAACATAAAAAATCAAAATAATAAAGAAATAAGACTTAAGATTAGACTTTTTCAGGTAATTATTAAATAGTGAATATTTCTCTTTTATAGCTAAAGATACGAATTGTATTATTTTGGTTAACTAAATCATATTTCATTTAATCGCACTTTTAATAATTTAAGAGATCTATTTTATTTAATTCATCCAAATTCAAAATAATTTTTTACCCATGTTTGTATGCTTTAACTAACAAAATTCACAAGTCTATATGTTTTATTATAATGAACAACTAATTTTTAATAATGGATATCATTTTAAAATACATATTATTTTAGTACTTAAATTAATTTAGAAAACCTTGGTTAATTTATTTACAGAATGTTCATTATTCTATTGAACGGGGTATACTAGGAGTACAAAATCAAAAGGACGTTCAACATTTAGTGTTGGAGTATATCGGTGAACCAATACAAACTGGATGTGAGTCTCAATGGGATTCAGCAGACGGACTTATTTTACCGGTGATGCCACCAACATTGATAGGGATATGTCGACTTCTACAAATATATTATGTACTCAAGGTACTAACATAATTAAGAAATTATGTAGTAAAAATTTTTATTATCACATTCCTTAGTAATATAATCAAAACCTGGGTATTAGTCAAAAATATTTCTGAAAAAATTGACAACCAAATTACAATAAATCACTATAAAATAACGTTTGAACAAATAATTTAACAATATTTATCAATCAATTTCGTAAGAGATCACACTTCTTAGTCAAATACAGGTTCAAATAACCTGTATATTATGTAAATTATTTTGATAAAAAATCTCGTTTAGTAATTGCTATTGAAGTGCTTGCTAAGTTGTACATTTAAAAATATTCTAGAAATTTTTATCATTATATAAAATGTAACACAAGCAACTTTTAGGTTTCGCGTGAGTTGTTAAAACTTAAAAAAATGTCATCATTCAGGATATTAGAAACGTTAAGTGAATACTAAATTTTTGTTACAAACAACATGCTAAGGTTTTTTTTAAAAACGGATTTAAAACTATGTTATGATTAATGAACATCTTAACCAAAATTGATTAGAATGCATAATGTTGAAGAACTTATTCAAATTATTCAGTTAAATATATTTATTTAAAATTTGGAAACATTTTCTGGGAATCTAAACTACACCTACTTATTGTTAATGTAACATTAATTTTTAATCATTAATTAATGTTTTCATTTTTCTTCATTGGTTATTAAATTATTCTCAATGTTTAATGTATCTATTTATTACATTGTAATTATAATAATAGTGAAAATCATAATTATGACCCAATATTAAACTACAATATATTTGGTACATAAAAACTTGAAAAATATTTTTCTTTATTTTTTCATATATGTATACAACGATATATTAAAATAATATATTT